GCTGAGGCGTCGCAGGGCGGTGGCGTACACATGCATGTGCAGCGCGTGTGCCCAAGGTGGACGTCCGGCCCCGTCACAGCGTACCAGTTGCGACAGGATCCAGAACCCACTACTGGCCCTTATCTATCATATACGGGTAATCTCTAAGTCTCAGTGTCTCATGAAGTAGTAGCCACTTCCTAAACAACATGGATAAAGACACAATTTCTAAAAGGGTGATTTGGGGCAGATTTAGTGCGACTGTACACAACTAGAGCACTGGGAAGTTTTGACTGTGCTAAAACAGACTTACACGTGATGGGAAAACAAAGCTGCAATCTCTTTGGGTTTACATGGGATGTTTCTGAAGAATAAGAGGATGTAAGTGTACTGTGGAGAACCACCATTTAGATACCACTTGATGTCTTTTTCATAGCTGCAGAGCAAAGAGCAGAACTTTTAAGCGTCTCTTCTCCTGTCCATAGCACCATTAAGAGGCTGGTTTTGAAGCCAGTGCAAGCAGAATCTGTACAGGAGGCCCTTCTATATATGAGGGACTTTGGTGAAAGCACATTTCCAAAATGCAGCTGTGGACAGAGTATAGTGAATAAGAGGATGCCTGGAGTAAACCAGGGATAATGAAAAACACGCCAACAAAATGGAAGAGGAGCAGGACACATTAGAAAGGCCCCTGCCATACAGGAGCCTCTTGGAACCAGACAGACTCTCCTTCTCCTGCCCTTTTTTCCTTCTCCTTCCTCCTTTTCCTTCTCTTCCTTTCTCCTCCTCCTCCAGTGTGTGATTAAATTGAATCAGATTTGCTCTGCCAGAGCCAGCAAAGGAAGAACATATATACACATACAAGAAGTTTTGTGCTGCATAGTTTATTTATCTCTTTGCAGGACCAGTATTGTGTTGGGGGTGTAGGGCTAGGAGTATTCATTCTCTCTGTGTGTCCTCTCTCTCCATTCATTCACAATTACTAACTGTTCTTTGCTCTCTCCCTCTCTCTATCACCTGATCACCTGCCAGTTCCTTCTCTTCTGCACAATCTTTTGCAGGCCTTTCAGCAGTCCCTGTGGGACGGACTTGGGATGTGGCAAGGGATCATACTCCAGGCACAGAAGCTTTCACTAGTGGGTGTGTTGCCCCTGGCATCTTGCTCCTTTTCCTGGTGGCCTTTATATCCCACCTCCCTAATTAGGAGCTTCACTTCACAGCAGGAATGTGGGAGGGCTTGTCCCCTTCTGGGCCCAAATCTTCTACTCTGAGAGGCCTCGCTCACTTTCTCCTGTAGAGATCCTAATTTTCCTAGCCTACACTTGTAGGAAATCCCCCAAGACAGGAAGGGGAAAACTTTGTCCAACAGAGCTTCAGTAGCATAGCAAAAGGGACAGGGGCAATCACTGAGCTTAGAGAGGCAAGCATCACCCACCCACAAGCAAGGAGTCCTGCTCCCTGAGGGTAGGAGCAACTCTGTGGCTTTGGTCCCGGAGGCAAGACTGGGCAGGTGACTCAGCCTCATTCTCTGGGCTATGCTCACACGTCCTCCCCTCTCCTCTGTCTGTGCATGGCCTGCAGGGAGCTCTCATTACTGCTGCAGCAGGCGGACCCAGAAGGGGCAGGAACTCACAGTCAGGTTGGGGTTGTAACTACACATGATTATCAGAGCACACACATATGTGGCTCGGGGCACGTGTGACCATGTAAAGGCAGATGGGAGTTTTCTTTTCAGGCAACGGTCAGACCCTGTACAGGGGCAGGAAGCCTCACGTCTAGCACATGCATGCACATACCACACATACACACACACCAGAGGTGGTATTCTGCCGGTTCGTACCGGCTCACCCGAACCAATAGCGGAAATCACTGGTGGCCCTCCCCACTCGCTCCGGCTCTATGCCATCCCATTTAGGCCCTTTTTTTAGCCAAAGCGCATGCGCGGAAGGCTGAGCGCATGTGCTGATGGGCGTGTGCAAGCATAGCGAGCGAGTGCTCTCACACTTGCAAATCAGTAGGGAAGGTAAGTGAATACCACCACCACCACCCTCTCTCTCTCTCACACACACACACACACAACTACACCTCTCTTTCTGCCCTCCTCCTACCAAAGGGCAGGAAAAGAAAAGAACAAAAAAGAAAGAAAAGAAAAGGAAGGCAGAAAGGGAGCCGAAGGAGAGAGGCTTTGGGGAACAGAGGTCTTCTTGTACATTCAGTTGGGCGGGTGAGGTTGTCCAGTGACGCTCTTACAAAAGGGGTGTGAGGGAGAGAGAGAGAGAACCGGCATCCCCTGATTTTTTGCACACGAGAAGGAGAGGGTTGAGATGGGTCAAGTCGCTCTGGGAGTTACAAGACCTACAGCATTTCGTGCTGCTGCTGCGTGGCTTCGCTGACCACCTGGAGAAAGACAGAGATTTCAGTTAAGAAAAGCCCCAAGGCCCACCGTCCTGGGCCTTCTCCCGATCAGGTGGGGCCTTTGCTTGTTCCCACCACTGGATTCCCTATTTCTGCTTTGTAGGGA